GGCAGGAAGACGATAAGTCACATGCACCTGCTGCGAGAGAACCGCGACATTCTATGGAACGAGGGGTTTCGGAACCTCAGATCCCCGCGGAGGACCAGCCAGAGGTCCAGCTAAAGGGCCAGGAGGATGAGGCTGCTGATCATGTGGAGCCCGAGGAGGTGGATGCTGATGCTGCCCCCCGCCCCACCACCTTCGAATACGGGGAAGGCAGCTCCGCTTTCCCCGGGCAGGCCTACTTCACCTACCAGTTCGAGCAGCTGCGTATCTAGAAACAGCAGATCCTTGACCAGCAGCTCCAGTTCCAGCAGCAGTATGCGGCTCACCAGGCCGAGTACCAGCAGAGGATGGCTGCTTATGATGAGCGCCTGGACATGATGGCGGCCCAGCAGGGGGTGACTCTGGCTCATATCGAGCGAGAGAAGGCTCGATCTAGGCGCATGTAGGAGGTCCAGCAGCACCTACTCCAGTTGTTGCCGGGCGAGCAGCCAGTCTGGAGGACTCCCTAGGAGGACTCTCCACATCCACCTCCCCCAGCTGATGGTGATGATGGTGATGACACCTTCATGGACGACATCGACCTGGATAACCTTGGCGACGAGTAGGCTGTACTCGTTGCCCATCTCAGTGTGTTTTTCATTTTAGACTTTTGTGTGTTTGCTCCATGTGTGAGGAGCTTGAACTTAGTGTCGTTTGTTTTTGTTTTTGTTTTTGTTTTGTGGATTGTTTATGTTGTGGCCGTCTGGGCTAACACTTATCCCTAACGCACAGTGTGCTAGTGTGTTCTTGGTGTTCGATTCGTGCAGAACTGTCCATCTTCCCGTTTGTTTCTCGCTGACTGGTCCACTTCCAGTCCCCCAGCAGTATTTCAATCCGGTAACATCGTTCCCCTTATCTCTCCCTCTACTCCATTGAGGGCAATGTCGTGCTTAAGTGTGTGTGTGGGGGGGGGGGGGGGGTGCTTTGTATCGGTTGAAATCTATATATGTGTGCTTGGCACTGTGTTTGATCATATTGGCACTGTGTTGTGATTGGTGAATTGAATGGTTTTTTCGGATTGATGCATGACAACTGGATTGTGACTAGGACAACCTATGATGAGGACTGAGAAGACTTGCAGTAGAATTGTGTAGGGGTGCAGTTTTTCAACTGTTTGCTTACCAACTGTGACTTGGATTGATCACTTGTTCTTGACAGCCGTTTATGCATCTAGTTCAAGGAATCAGAATGTGAGATAGAGCATATAGGTAGCCATGTGAGATTTGAGCATGCTCGTTTCTTTCTTGTGCGATAGATCCCTCTTCCATGATGTGTAGCATTCACGTTGTCACTAGCTAAGATGATGGGGGCATAGGATTAGCCCACGACCAAATTGACTGTCCTGAAGTGTCATATCCCCTAGTCAGCCCCTTTGAGCCGTGTGTTATCCTTTCTTTTGGTCTACAATGAAAAATCCCCCTTTTGCATCTTTTAGAAGGTTCCACAGAGTGGTTTTTACATGTTCTCTGCTGTTTCTGCTAAATTTAATGTGAGTGTTGGAGGTAGTGCTTAAAAGTTGGGCATGTGTTTGAAATTGTGTAGAAGTGGTGGTTCTCTTAAGAAATGGAAAAAATGAAGAAAGAAAAACAAAGTAAAAAAAAATTGAAAGCAAAAGAGAGCCACCACAAAAAATATGAATAGTGCTCATTAAGTAGTGTTTCTTAGCAGTCTGGCTTGGAAATGCTAACATTTATACCTCCTTCGCTCTTGTGCTCTTGATATTGAGTAATGCAGAATGGCAGAAAGGAAATACTGGTTTGTTTGATTGTGATTGTGTGGGTTTGGAAATGTGGAACCTTGGGCTATGAATACTTCCACCACCTAAAAGGATTTTCCCCCATCTCCAAGACCCTAGCCAGTCATTTGAACCTGTGTCTAAGACCTCCGGATTAGTTAGTGGTGACACCCCATATGTGAACTCTAGCAGTTAGAGGCTGCCATCATGGTGAAGAGATGTTAGGGATTGAGAGAAATAGCATGCGCATTTTTCGCATCAAATTGTCCTGACCCCACTGGTCGAGAGTGAGTGATTCATTTTCATATTCTATATACTCTTGTACCCCGGTGAGGACCTAGATTGCTCGGTCTCTATTCTGATGTCTTGAGTTGGATGCATGAGGTGACTATTTTGAGTAAGTGGTTGAGTCAAGTCTAGGTTGGTTGGTGAACAGAAGGGAGACTCTTCCTTTACTCGATTTTGCTGCGCTCGAATGTCCTTTGTGGTGGTTGTCCAGGTTGCTATTGAAGTTGTTCATGTGTTGATGTTTGAAAACTAGTACGATTCACGTGTTCTGTGCCTTTATGACTTGTCCCCGATGTTGGTATGATTGTAAATGTAAGCTTACCTTGTGTCTGACTTGGTTTGCTTGGGGACAAGCAAACGGTTAAGTGTGGGGGAGTTTGATAGACCGTTAATTACACATGTTTTTACCCCTGTTCTTACACCGTTTGAGATGTGGTTTCTCGTGTTTTAGGCCGATTTCACGCTAGGTTGTGCTTGTTTGTGATATTTCAAGTCCTAGTACGTGAATGGAGGCTTGGGAGCGAGTTTGGGGTCGATTGGATGAAGATCGGACGCGTGGCGAGGTGCTGAGGAAGCCACACGGGCATCCCTGGAAATCACACGGCCGTGCAAGTCATGCTTGTGGCCGTGTGATTTGTGCCGAGAGCAAACACGGGCAGAGCAGAATTTCCACACGGCCGTGTGACCCTGGCCGTGTGGGAAGCCTGAAATTCAACTAATCGATACGCAACATTTTGAGCCACACGGGCAACTGGGTGAGCCACACGGCCGTGTGGCCTGCCCGTGTGATCGGGATTTTCAGGTTTTTACCCAATTTCGGGCCACAAGTGAAAAAATAGGATTTTCAGAGCAAAAACAGAGCCCTAGAGAGAGAAAGTGCGAAGAACACATCCTAGAAGCTATCTTGGAGTTGGGTTTCATCAAATCGAGCTTGGAGATCGTCATAGGAGTGGAAATCATCATCCCAGAGCAGATTCTTCCCATTGTTATGAGTATGACTGCTTTGTATCCTGTTTTCCTCTCTCTCTATCTATGGAGTAGAACCCTTCTCTCACTTGGGTATGAAGAACCCTAGTTCCATGTGTTAGGGATTTGATTGTAATGACTTGGGATGATTATACTGTTTGGTTTTAATCGAATGATGCATGTTTTATTGAATTGATTGAAGTCTGATCAGCTTTTCTTGATTTCTGCTACAACCTGAGATAGATAGAATCTGATTAGGTTGTTAGAGCTTCTTCATTCGATAGTAGGAGATTGGTTATACGAGAGTTAGCCAGTTTACTGCTTTGTACTGGAATCCAATTCCAGTAGTGGAGTTCTGTGCTCATTGCTTCAGCTTTCTGTCCCGGTGAAGACTAGTCGTCTGCCGGGTAGTTAGATTGAGAGGGCTTGGTCAGCTTAAGAGATTCCAAGCTACTGTCGGATCTTCCGCAGTCTAGCCAACAATAAATCAACCCAGGGTAATTACAATTGAACCTAACTAAGGAGCTAGGGGGACTCATTTCCCGAGTGACTCTTCCCTGCTTGAGAAAACCGAACCATTTTCTGCTTTTTACTCCTTTTACTTTAAACAACAATCACTCGACTTAGTTGGCTAGATTATAGATAATCACGGAGTAGGCAGTAGATCTAGACCCCGGGTTGATAATAGAACTTGCCTGTTACTGCATTCCCGGATTGCGATTACACTTGGTCGCAGTTTGGTGTTGTGTTTTCGCGTGTCACTCAACCTTGCTGAATAAACTCCATCAATATTAGGATTTACTTATTCATTCTCTCATTCACACGATTTTCCCATGATCTTCCTTTCTCGCCTTGTTTTTTTTTTCTTTTGCTTTATTTATCAGTGGCGAAGTTCGGAAAATAGCTAGAGAGTGGAGAGGTCTTAGAGTGAGAAGGACAAACATTAGAATGAATTTGAAAGAGAGGGAACCTATCGGGTGGAGGGGAGATTATCAATGAGTCGAGGTGGTTTGGAGGAGATGAGTCAAATATGATGAGACGATGAGGGCTAGGGACGAGGAAGTGATTTGGACATCAATTGGGAAAGGAAAGGGAAAGAAAAAAGGATTATGTCATTGTGGCTTGTGGGCTTGAGACTTGTAGTTGTCTCTTGTTTTGTCGAAAAGTTAGTAGGGTACTGGATGGGATGGTTTGGGTTGGGTTAGGAGTTACAAATAGGGTTGGTAGGCATTGGTTCTTTTTTGACATATGTTCGTTCAATTTTTTTTATTCATTCTAAATCGAACAGTGATATGTTTGAGGGTCGATATGATTTTACGGATGGGTTGCTCACATCTTACTTTGTACCTTTTCTATTTTTTTTCTAAAATAATATTTTACACCTCAACTTAAACTCCCCTTAAATTTACATCTCATTGCCTAATCTTTACACTCTTTGAATTTACTCCCTCCATTCATCAAACGAAGAGTCAAAAAAATCTAAACCAAAATAAGTAATTTAAATGTTTCGGTGAACGACTTAAAGCTAGTTATACTTATTATGATCAGGTAGCTCAGCATTCTGCAAAGAAAAAAATTATTCATAAGTAAATCCATGAAGTGTTAAATCAATAATTTTGACTGCAGAAATGTCATCCTTAAAATATATAATAATATTAATAAAAGCTCCATCCCTTCCCCCTTAGCACTCTTGTGTCTCCATCCACCAGCGTCCTTCCCTTTTTCTTGTCCATACCTCTAGTGCCTGTGGCGCTTCCTTGCCACTACTTTGTCTCTCTCGCATGCAACGTCGAACCAACAAAAGCACCAAAAATCCAAATCCCAAAAAAGAAAAAGAGCTAAGTGATCTCCAAATGGGAAAAAGGGTGAAAATGAGAAAAAGGCGGAGAAGACTTTGTATCTAGCGCCACTCATAATTTTGGACAGAGAGTCAGCCAACTAGCCCCCTTCCCTCCTGATGATAAACTAGAGCCGACAATTACAATGACCATTTGAAAGACCTTTCCTTGTTTTTCTTTTTCATTCTCTTTACACACATCATTTTCTTTTTAATATTCAATCAATCCAATAGATTAATTTTTCAAAATTTGACTATCAAAACCTTAATCCCAAATCACCAAGATCAAGAATCCAATCCCTTCCCCCTTTCTTCCCCCATCAAATTTCTTATTTGGTGTGTGGAAGAGAGAGAGAAAGATTGATCAACAACAAAAAGCTCCTGACGACGGTTATTAGCTAGCCACTGTGAAAAGAAAGAGAATCAACATGTCTTGCACATCGTCTTCCGCATCTGATGAGGACGAGGAGGGAATCGATTCATATAGGAAAGGTGGTTATCACGCTGTCCGAATTGGTGATCCCTTCAATGCCGGTCGTTACATCGCCCAACGAAAGCTCGGATGGGGCCAATTTTCCACCGTCTGGCTTGCTTACGACACTCAATCTTCCGTATGTTGATCGCTCTCTCTATCTCTTGATTCATTTGTTTGTTGGTGTCCGATTTTTATATTTTTACTATCATCTATTTTGTTCTTTTTTACTTCTTTTATTGTGCCCCACCGCTTTAATATGGTCATCGAAGTGAGTAATGTATTGTTATTGTATTAGATTTTGGAATTTTCCTAAATTGTATTTGTTTAATTACCATTGAAGTGTGTCTCTATGCTTTCTTTCCACATTTTGGTGTGATTCTCTTTCGTAGACCCCCCCGGACCGTTATGTTGCCTCAATTTAAGTTTGCATCCCATATGTGGATCAACCAACTATTTGTTAGACAACCAAATTGATCTTCTGGGTCATAATCAAGTGTGTGATACTGATTTTGGTTTCTTGTTTGGTTTGCCTCAGAACTATGTTGCTCTAAAGATCCAAAAAAGTGCTACACAATTTTCACAAGCGGCCCTACACGAGATTGAAGTTCTTTCAGCTATAGCCGACGGTGATCCCTCCAATACAAAGTGTGTTGTTAGGTTGATTGATCACTTCAAGCATTTAGGGCCAAATGGGCAACATCAGTGCATGGTTCTTGAGTTTCTTGGTGATAGCTTACTCAGGCTGATCAGACATAACCATTACAAAGGTCTTCACTTGAATAAAGTTAGAGAAATTTGCAAATGTATTCTAATAGGTTTGGATTACTTGCATAGAGAACTTGGATTACTCCACACAGACCTTAAACCTGAAAATATTCTCCTTTTCTCCACCATTGATCCGGCTAAAGATCCAGTTAACTCAGGGGCCTCCCCAATTCTTAGCAGACCTGAGAGTAACCTTAATGGTGGATCTACGATGAATATAATTGAGAAAAAGTTGAAAAGAAGGGCCAAAAAGGCAGTTGCCAAGATATCAGGGAGAAGAACTACAATGGGAGGTACCACAGAAAAGCCAGAGAGAAACTTGGATGGGGTTAATGTGAGGTGCAAGGTTGTAGATTTTGGAAATGCATGTTGGGCTGCCAAGCCATTTGCAGAAGAAATCCAAACACGACAGTATAGAGCTCCTGAAGTCATTCTACGATCTGGCTATTCGTTCTCTGTTGATATGTGGTCATTTGCTTGCACTGCTTTTGAGCTTGCTACTGGTGACATGCTATTTGCTCCAAAGGGCAGTCAGACATTTTGTGAGGATGAGGTAGGATGGTCTCGTTGATAATTGAATATTGCAGCTTAATTAGAGTTTATTATCATTTCTTCCAAATAACTTTGATAAATTTTAATACTATGATCTTTGTTATGCTTTAATCCATATGAATATTAACATGTGTATTTGTTATGTTAATGGTGATATAAAATTGGTATAATGTATGTGAAGTATGTATGGCATAGTTGGTAGTCATTTTAAATATTATTCAACATGCTATCGGTCTTCTCTCAATCTCTCCCAAACAAGGAATTTTTTTTTGAATATTACACTAAGCTCGTTAAAAATGTGGGTGTTTATTTTCTGAAATTATGATCATTTGAAGATGTAATCACAATAGTGGCACCATATATTTAAAAACCATATGTAACGTATATATTTAAAATTGTAGAGCATTATGGTTAGATTTGTGATGAGACCTGTCTGAATAAATTTGGTGGTTCTGTCTAATCAGAAAGTTTGCATTTGTATTATGCATGTTTATGTTGAAGTTCTCTTTTCTTGATCCTTCCCCAAACGGATGTAGGACTCTGATGACTGTATTCCATTTACAGGATCACCTTGCTCTGATGATGGAACTTCTTGGAAAGATGCCTCGAAAGGTGTCACACACATATTCATTAATTGATTTCTAATAACTATTGCCAATCGCTCATGACTAAGTTTAATTCTTGTAATTTCTAATAATCATGGGCAGATCGCAACAGGAGGTGCAAGATCTAAGGATCTATTTGACAGGCATGGTGACCTAAAGAGGATCAGGAGGCTGAAGTACTGGCCCATGAATCGATTATTGGTTGATAGGTATAAATTCTCTGAGGATGATGCTCGGGAATTTTCAGATTTTTTGTGTCCTCTTTTTGATTTTGCACCAGAAAAGCGGCCAACCGCTCAACAATGCCTCCAACATCCATGGATCAACTGCACAGTCTCTATCAATGTCGACATGAAAAATCAAGGTGTTGCTACTGTGGAGAAGTTGGAAGTGGGGGTGAACAACCTCCATCTAAAGGCGAAGAAGTAGAGAAGGGCCGATGGAAAAGATGCTTGGTTGCATGCATCATTTTCAGGCACCTCCCTCCATATATATGAATATTGATTTCTTTCCTTTTTGAATTTTTTTTATATTGGCTTACCGTAACCATTGTTTTCTTATTTAAAGTTTTTTTTTGTATTTGTTAATGAATGACGAACTAAAATGTGGAGTGGTGAAGGGTACTATTGCGAAAAGATATTACTTGAAGCTAGAGGAGGGTGGCTATTGTACTAACTAGAGAATAGACTACATATTATTGTGTTGATTACATGCTAATGACATTTTTCCATTGAGAAAATATAATCACTTGTTTCTATAATGGAGCCAGGTGTTGTCTTATAGAAAACCCACAAGAGCTAGAATTGCAATTTGCTAGTAGAATTACAATGGGGTGATATTACTTATTAGTTGCGAGTTTGATGTAGTATAAAAATTTATGAGTTTGTAGATTTAGAGCATAGGGTTTGTTACTTTATTTGTTTTTGGTTTTGCCACAAGCATTTTTCTCCACGTCGTTACTTTGACTAGTCTTCTTTTTCTAATTTCTTTATTTTGCACATTTTCATTTTCTAATTTATATACTTGTCAATTCATTACAAAATTTGCAAGTAAAATTACAATGATATGATATTCAATTTATGAAGATATTAGTTGTCACTAGTTTGTAGGTTTTGAGCTAATGGGGTTTTTGCCTTTAGTTTGGACACAATATGATATCCACTGACAGACACTCCATAGTTGAAGCTACAACTTGCGTGAAATGAGAACGAAGAAGAGAGTGATGATCGTCCTTGTTGCAGTCATTGTAACAAAAAATGGCCACATAAAGGATAAGTATTTTAAACTTATTGGTTATCCACCTCAATATGGCAAGAGTCATTAAAATGATTGTTATCATGATTGGAAGAAGTGGACGGGTGAGAACTTGTCCTGGACAGCCGATGTTGACGTCAAAGAGAGTTTCATTCCTCCATTATTGGTAGCTTAATTTGCACATTTGAAAAAATTTCTCTCCACCCCTATATCTCTTACATCTCCTCTACCTTAACATACTACTCACATGAATGGTAATTCATTTGACCTTTATCAATGGTTTATCGATTCTAGTTGTAAGTAGCACATATGAAGTGATGCAAGTTGGTTAGATTAAGTACACCATTCAGTTAACCATCCACCTGTTCAAATACCCAATGCAATTTCCTTTCGGTTAAGGTTGTTAGTTATGTAGTTCGAATTCATGCTTTAGTCTTAATTGTCTTGACTGATTTCCCCGTGATCCATGACATACACTCTAGGATCGTGATTGGACTGGGATGCCTACTTGATGGGTTATACTATTTGCAACGCATAATTTTTGGGCCCAGGTTTCCACCTTCGATTCTTGCTCTTGCTGCTAGGCCTCAATTTCCCTTGGCACTCCCTAGTGGTCCATTGGCCTACTTTGACATGAAAATGCACAAAACACTACCAAAAGCGTAACTTGATAACAAAAGCATTCCCAAACACACTTTAAACACTCACATAGCAAATCCAAGGTATTAGGACGCCAAAGATGGGAAATCAATGCACTTTAAATCATAATACGTGGATCTAAAATAGTGTGTTTCACTTGTCATTAGACATACTCATCTAATTTCATATAACGTTGATACAAAAAAATTATACAAAATATTCAAGCTCATGATAGTAGAAGTTAGACAAACCATATATCCTAATCATGCTAGCATTGAAAGGCATAAATCATATAATTAGGCAAATGTACAATTGAAATAATTAGCACAAGAATAATGGCATTAGCATAAGCAAATGACATTTGATCCAATTAGTTCAACCAAGCATTATAATTTGTAGAAATTCTCCAATTCCCTACTCATTGAAAATTTCCAATATTAGTAATGCTTATACCATAAAAATTACGAAAAGTAGTATAGCTTGACATTGAAGCTCAAAGTAATTCGAAAAGATGCTATGCTGATTTCAAAAATTTTTGGCATGACATTTACTAAAATTCATCAATCCATCAAACATAAAAATGCTTACAACATCATAAGAAACCATACAATCTCATTATAATCTTAACAACTATCATCAATCATATGAACACATCCATTGTACCCAAAAAAGTCAAAAAGTAGGAAGATAAATACCTCATATTTAACATTCAATTCTAAACATTAAATCCTCAAATTGAAGCTCTAAATTCATAATTCAGGATTCTAAACTCATCTAGAGATCATGGGTATTGGATTGAAGAACTAAAAAATTTAACCAAAAATTGAAAAAAAAAATCTAGAGAGAGTGGCGACAGTGGCGAGATGGGTATGACAACTGTCGATGGTGGTGAAGTTTTTCGGAAATTGTTTTAATGGGCTTTTTTATTTGGTGATGGATAGGTTGTATCTAAAATGTGGGGAGATAATTTTTTTGTTTTGGAAATGGATTAGGTGATTGAAAGTTGAAGCTTTTGGTAGAAATTTTGAAACAAAAAAAAAAAAAAAGAAAGAGGGGAGAGCTCAGCAAAGAAAAGAGAAGGGGAAGTGTAAAAGTTGGGTATTTATATGCTGAAGGAGAGAGGCAGGTATATGTTCGTCATGAGGCTGCCATGATGCTCAAACCTGGTTTGCGTTGATTTCTTGTATTTTTACGTCAGAACAGTTACCTTGTCCATACAAAAGTGGATTTTGTACATTGTTTCTCCATCAAGACACTTCCATCTCGTCATAATTTACAAAACTTTGCTCCAAATGTTTCACCTGTCCAGAGGGACAAAATAGAATCTTCCAGTGAGTAACTCAAAATGATAAGCTAAAATAAAACTAAGGAAAGAGAAATCCTTGCTTCCCATGGAGCGCTCTTTATTCTATGCCTTTGAGCTAGGCTTAGCCATGCTCCTTTTATTTTGACGACCATTCAAGATCATATGCCCATTAACTTGTGTTTCCTCTTGTTGGTTCAACATGATGTGGATTAAATCCATTTTGAAGATGAAAGCGCAAGAAGTCTTGATAATCCTCAAATATTTCCAACTACAATTCCTCGATTCTCTCTAGCATCATTGTGAGCCTTGTATTGGTTATCTTGAGTGTTATTTGAGCTAATTTCAAATAAAAAATTGGTTAAGATTCCTTCAACTCGTCTATATATCTTATTTCTTGATCTTGATGATGAATAGTTATATTCAAAGAATCCTCAAATTGAGATGTTGATTTGAGTTTGATCTCATTCTTCGGCTCTATCTCTTCAATCTCTTCAAAATCATCATCATTGAACACTTTGTTAATGGTCTTTATCCCTCAATGCATTATATATTTACATGTAAAGTGATTTCTCTCTTGCAACATCAATTCAAAAACCATAGATTGCAAGAATGGTCTCCCAAAGAGGATCGAGTATGCTTCACTAATACTCATATCGATCACCACACAATCTGGAAAGAATATGACTGGACCAACTTGGGTACCTATGTCTCTAACAATTCCAAGATCTTGACAAGGGGTGTTGTTGGCAAGCATGATCCCAATGTTGACGTCCTCCATACCAGTCAATCCAATTCTCATAGATTTTCAGTGGTTGGATGTTGATACTTGCATCAAGATCAACCAGTCCCTTCTCCATGTGATGTTCATTCCAAAGACAGTTGATTAATAAATACCCCGTATCATTATGTGTTTCATGCACTAGGATGATCTCTTCATATCCCCTTGGGGTTTTCTTGATAGTAGACTCCTTTTCTTCAATTCTATCATCCTCTTTAAAGAGAATCTCAAGCTTATGCTTCGTATTCTCCATTGAAACTAGTTTTTTCTAATATTGGCACTACCACTTCTGATCCTCCTTGAGTGTCTATGAAATTATTAAATAGGGTTGGTTGGTGAGCTTCTCTTTTTAGGATTTTCTCCTTATTCTCCTATTCCGTGTGTGAACTTGAGAAACTCTTGGATGCTCCTATCCTGGTCGAATTAATTTGACTTATTCTTTCTTTGGATTATTCTTTGTATTTTTTGGATGATTTCCTTGAGGCTTTTGAGGTCTGGTGTTAATCAGGAGTGCAACTTCTCGTTCGATTTTCTGATAGCTTGCTTGCAGCCGATGGTGTTGCCTCAAGTTTTTCGAATATGTTATGTTGTTGATTAGAAGAACTTCCTCCTTGCTCCTTATATTGAGGTTGGTTTCGAAATCCAGGTGAGTTTGTATTCTTTGTTCCATTGTGCTTCATGAATATAAGGTGGATTAGTAGAGGTGATAACGAGGTAATTCTCAAGCTTCTTTCCTCCTAGAGCTGGCCATATGGTATGCGAGGTTGATTGGATCTCTGGTAAGGAGCATTGCTTGTTGTGGCATTGGTTAATATAAGGGATAATACCAATGGAAAACCCGAACTATCAAGAAAGTCTCAATTGTGTCCCGAACTATTCAATATGACATTTATGTCCTGAACTATTTTTTCGTAGTTTGACCGAGTTTGACTGTCAATATTTAACAAAAAATTCAGTCATTCTCGACGTGGCATCTTATATGGAGTTTTAAATATTAATTTTTATTTATATTTTCATCTAAAATGATTAAAATAAGAAAAAGAAAAGATAAAAAGTTAAAAAAATCCCCAAACCTCCTTAATCGCTCCATCAATTTCGTTCCTAAGTCAACATCAAATTGACCACCGTGTTGTCAATCGTTATCTATAACGATTAACAAAATCGTCATGACTTAAATGACACGCAATTATCATACGTTGGGATATAAATGGAATATTAAATAGTTCTGGACAAAAATGAAACTTTCTTGATAGTTCGGATTTCTCAAAGGTATCAGTCCTTAATATAATTGACATCAACAAGTAGAGGTGGCAATCAGGATCCAAATCCATGAATCCAATCCAATCCATTTGATCCAAATCCAATTGGATTAGTGAATTCATGGATCAATCCATAGATTCAAATGGCAAATTACGATTTGGTACCAATATGTTTTTATATTTTATATTTTGGTACCTAAAATCTATATTTGTATACGAAAAATATTATTGGAAATTTACATTTTGGTACCTAAATTTTTTTATTATGGCATTTTAGAACCTAAACTTTTCAAAATTTATATTTTGGTCTAAGCCTTGGATGTCATTTGGATTCATGGATCAATCCACCAATCCATTTGATCTAATTCATGAATCCACAAATCCATTGGATCCATGGATCCACCAACTCATGAACCCAATCCATTTGTCACCTCTATCAACAAGTCCTTGCTCTCCATGGCTCGAAAAATTGATTCCTTCATGTTCTTCTTCTCCACAAGCTTCACTCACGAACAAGGTTGTCATTAGTTCATGTGC